CATGAATATTTTAAATCTGCGTCTTTCAAAATCTAGCAATATATGTTATTTTTTAGAAAAATACATTTAATGTAGTTACTTAAAAAAGAAACTGTTGCCTTTATAACAAATATATATATATATATTTATTTATTTTTCTTTTAATTTGTCTCCTATATATTTAATATAAAAGTTATGCTAACATGAATATAACTCAATCTAGGTCCTCTTTCTTTTAAATTTTAGAAATTCAAATTCTCTCCTATATTAAACAATTTGTGTGAGTTTTAAGAATTAGTGGCTATAATTAGTTAGGTAACCAGACCATTTAATGGATTGAACATAAAATTTAAATTGGAGGTGACAATGTATTGGAAAAAGGATCTAGTTTATTAATGCTCTGTCTCTAGGTTTTATGTTATATAGGCACCAATGACTACAATTATATCTAAACCTCTCCTACAGAACTTAGGCCTGCATTTGCATATTACACAATCATTTTTTTACTCAAAATTTCCTTCTCTCTCCTTTAGACTTGCTATGAAGTAACATCTCTCTGATTCCTACATTTTCCTTTCCAAAAAAAAAAAAAAAATACAAACTTTGATAAGATATTTAACAGAAACTTTTCATTAAATGTTAGGAAAGGTAGGTTTTGGATAAGAACTCTTCTAAACCCTAGAAGGATTTGAAATTTAAAACCATACCCAAAAAACAAAAAACCTAGAAATTAAATCTCATTTTGCCAATTTATTTAGCCAATATGAACCTATAACTCAATTGGGTAAGACATGTATCATCGATCAAGAGGTTGTGTGTTCCAATCCTCACTCTCATGTGTTGTACTAAAAAAAATATCCATTTATTTATTATTGAGAGATTCCGCTTCTAACAAAAGTAAAATCGAATCGATTTAAAGTTTTTTGTTTTTAGTAATGTGACTTTGAATTTTTGTTCTACTTTTTTTTTTCTTTTTAATGTTAACTTAGGGTTTTGTATGATGCTTTAGTTTTTTTTTTTGAACGTTTAGATAAAAATTATTTGATTTCTTAAAGAAGATTAATTGAACTAAAATTAGACTCTAAATAATTTGATTAATAGCTTTGCATAACCTGTAAAAAGAAAAAAAAATTGATCGCTCTAAATCACTTGTTTTTCACCAAGTTCAATTACTTCATAGAATAGACACAATTTCTTTTTCTTCATAAATTCATCTTTCTGCAAGAGACTAACTTCAAAAACAAAAAAATAATAATTAAATTAAATTAAATGAAGAAGTTTGTTTTTTTCAGTACAAAGAAAATTAAGAAGGAAGGAAAATCAACCCAAATTGAAAAGATCGATATGAATAACTCTTTCTACCCGTATTGAGTACTCTTCGATCTAGATTTTTATCTCCTTTGCATGAACTGCTAAATTATTAGCGGCTTCATTCCCTCTTGCGTTTCGTAAGAGTGATATTCTTTTTCTTTCTCTATTTCTACATTTTCTAAATGAAGAAGTTAATTATATGAAAATTTTGAAAATGTTTAATAATTAATTTTAAGAGAAACCCAAATCAAGAATTCCTTAGAAGAGGAAGAGGGTAAAAAGTGAAGGGGGAAAAGGAAGCTAGAAAAAACAAATACATGAATTGTTTTGATGAGATCAATGTATAAGACAAGGGAAAAAAAGAAAGCAAATACAAGGTTGTACTAGATAAAAAACATAGGACCCACATAGTACGTATATTACCTTGGATTTGTCTATTTATGATCTTTGTTGTACTAGAAAAAATCCAACAAATTTGGCATCCAATTGTCACATGTTCAAAAATAGGAAGCAAATACACATCATATTTCATACCCAGCTTGAACAATGGCACATGATCATATTCAAGTCCAAATTTGGAACTTTCAAAACCGTGATTTTGACAGAAAACAAAAAGTATATCTTGATCGTGAATTATATATTATGAGTTAAAATTATTCTAATCTTATGGTTAAAACTTTTAAATCTAATAATGATTTCGATGAACATAGTCAATAAGTACTTATTTTGACATTGTCTTTTGGTACTACTAGCTCTAATGTTTTTTTTTCCCTTTATGATATTTATATAATTGAAGAATTCTTAAATTCTTGAAACTGATAGGGTTCTTTTTTTTTCTTTCCCAAAAATTTAAAGCACATCTGATTAGCTAAAACAGATAAATTAGGTATTGTATATGTGGTAATACTTAATCAAAATTTTCATTTTGTTCATTTTTTTCGTCAAATTTATGCCACACACAACGAACCTTAAATCAACCGTACCGACTTCCATAACTCGAAAGAGATATTAGGTTTAAATAATCAGTGTTCCATTCCAAACTCCTTTGCTTCATTTAATTACATCAAAAGAAAGAAAAAAAAGGGAGAGAGATAACAAAGACTTAAAAGATATCATAGAGATGATGTCCTTAAAATTGATTAAATGCAACATTGTCACAAAATATTTCAATCTCCCAAATGCTTCCATTTATAATATAGTTCATATAATGAACTAACTCCATGCAGTTTTTTTCCCTAGCAACCAAACAGCACAAAATCATCCATTTTCTGTGGCAGCAAATTCCCTTCACTGCTCCAAAGCTTGAGTTCAAAACACTCATGTTGGCTGCATGGCATATCATTATCAATACTTAGTTAAATCACACAGTTATTAAAAAGCAATAAACTATTTTGTAACATTTTTGAAGCGTTCTTTCATTTTGAGCGTTCTTTTGCATTAATCGATTCATGTCAGAAATCGACTGAAAAAAACTTTATATGTTTATATGGAGAGAGATCTAGGTTTGAAAATCACCCTTCATATGATATGAACAGAAAGTATATCACAATAATATTAGAGTAGCTTTTGTTTATGGCAGATTATAATCAAGTTTTAGACATAGATTGTGTTACTTTTGCTTGGTAGTAAGCTTCTGAATATGTTATTTTCTTCTTGTTTTATTTGTTTTTTCTTGCCCTTTTCCTGTTTCCAAACTGTAAACTGTTACCATAATATGTCCTAAAAGCTTGAGTTATTTAGGGTTTAGTAAAGTTTATGTGTTTCTTGTGTTTTTATTTTTCTTGTTTCTTAGCTTTTTAAGAACTAGAAATAAAATATTCTTTACTAGCTATTTCTTTTCTCTAAATTTTAAATATAGAAGTGATCACACAGTAGTTGTACTTGAAAAGGGTATTTTGGTATTGTTTAACCAATTTAATGAGAATGAATAATAATTAAAATCAAAAATCAAAAAGATTCATTTACCAACTAGAAATAAGAAAAATAATTTCCTAATTCTCTCTTATTTCTGACTTTAGAAGGCAGGAACAGTAGTAAAAAGAGAAGTAAAGATCCTGCATAGATTAAAACTTAAGTTTTTCTATACTTAATCTAATGCTAATTAAGTTCCAAAAGCCTTCAATATTCAACATGATCATTTGAATGATTTTTTTACACTAACTCATTTGATTTCAATCCTACAACTTTGGATCCGAGAAGAGAACAGCAAATTGGGACAAGATTGAAGCTGACCTCTATCCAACTTCTTCGCTCGGGCATTCGGTCGCTACGGTGTAAGTTTTCGTCATTTAATATATACTCTATACATTTGATAAGCAAAGTTTTTATATTTACCTTATCCTAAAGGATTTTATTTTGTAGGAGAGGTATTATTAAAATCACATAAAGGCAGCTCTTTCATCTATAAAATGTTTAGTTAGTAATTTTATGCAAATAACACACATAGAGATGTATGTTTTAGAGAATACTATAAAGTGTTTAGCCTGAAATCTTGATTACTTATGGTCTTATTAATTCAACATCAAATATAGTATCAAAGCAAAAATCTACTATGACCTCATAAACTGAAGGGTTTGCTTGATTTAATTAGAGTTTGTGAATAGTTCTACTTTTTATAATTTGACTTCGTTAGCATCTTCAATCTTAGAAATTGAATGATTTTGAAATAATTACTTGACTTCATGTTTGTTGAAGGTGTTTATTAAAGGTTCATGGAATATTTTTAAACAAACTTAATGTCTTAATTACATTTCTCCACTCAATGAATTATAATTTAATTCTCTTTGTATGAAGTTATGTTGGAACTCTGTTTCAATAATTTCCAAGAAAGGCACTTTTATATCTATATTTATAGAAGGTGTATGAAATGATTTAACTAATTCAAAAGGATTAAAATAATCAATTTAATATTTAATTATATATATAATGCACTTCTAGCAATTTATGTTTAATTTGTTGTTTTTCTCATCTGATCCCTTCTTGTTTTTTCCACTCCCAAAATTTCCTCTGTCTAACAATTACTCTTTTAGGTCAAAATTTAGAAATTTAGAAATTAAGAAATTCTGAAAGTGTTGTTAAAGAGTTAAAAAATCTATCAACTAACAAGTTTATCTTTTTATTTTATTAAGGAAAACTCATGATGTTCCTAAAGAAACTATTTTTACTAAGAGAGGAAAAAAAGAGAAACTAATATAAATGCAAAAGGCTGATATCTCACCACTCTGGTTACTGAGAAATTAATTAACTTATAACTCCTCTAATTAATTAATTAGCTCAACGGATTGAGACATCTATATTGACTAGAAGGTCGTGAGCTCGAATTCACCTCTATTTGTTGTACTAAAAAAACTACCTTAATTAACATTTTTCTTCTCTCTAAATATTCTTCCTCGTTTTCCTAAGATATATCCTCACTCCCCTCCTAGCTTGATGCCCAGTAATCAAACCCATATCCTAGGTTTTACGATCCCTTAATTAATTAACATGTTTTTTTTTTTTTTTACTTTCAAATTCCGCTATGATCTAAATCACTACTCATTTCAAAAGTTGTCATTCGTATATTTTTTTCTCATTACGAAACTAGAAATAAATCTTGAAAGAACTGGGACTGAGAAACTTTAGGAAGCTGATTAAATTGAAAAATTTACTAGATCTTACATATATAAAGTGGGATTTGAATCCGCAGACCATCACCATGGATATGTAAACTGTTAGTGCAGGTGTTGGTTGTTGCTGCAGGCATTATCCCAAGGCTTAGCACACACTTGAAATTCTGCAAAATTTCAGCTCTCAAAGGGGTGACCCAAAATTCTTCAAAATTGAATCTTTTTTTTTTTCTTTTTCAGAAATTTGGTTTAGAAAAAAAAAATACCTGGAAAAGAATCTATGTTGGCAATAGAACAAAACCCAGATTGTGCTCTGGCAAAGGAGTCAACATTGATGTCCCAATTTGGAGGCAAATTAGAAGGAAAATAGAAGTTGTTGCAATTGTTGTAATAAGCAGCAGCATCTCCTTTGGAGATCACCAAATTCTTCTGGTAATTAGAAGTAGTGATAGGAGATGGCTTCCACATGATCCCAATGATGTTGTTGTTTTCCTGCTCCGCTGTTGCGGGCGGCGGTGGAGGCGGAGGCGACGGTCGGAATTGGTGGCTCAAAATCTCAGGCAAGGGCTGGGATTTGTTCATGATTTTCTCCTTAGTCCTTTCCCTAGCCCTTGCCCTTGCCTTTGCCCTAGATTCCTTAGCCACAACATCGTGAAATCCAACCAAATTTTTCTTAGGGGAAGATTTTGATGAGCCCATGAATTTCTCTGCCTCATCATTGGAAATAACCTCACATTCTTCAAAATTATTGAACAAGTTGCTGTTTTTAGGGACAAGAGCAGCAGCCCCATTTTTCTTGGTGAGCTCTTTGATGGCTTTTCTTGACTTTGTGAGGAGCCAATCTAGGGTTTTGCTGGCCTTGTCATAACCCAACATGTCTTGAAGATCAAAGAACTTTCTAGAAATCTCTATGGACAATCTCACCCTCCTGTCCCTCAGGCCCTGAGCTGTGTAAATCTTGCTGTGCCGATCCTTCTTCACTGTGGATTTTTTGGTGGTGCTGCTGAAACACTGCTGCTGATGCCCATTTTGTGACATTACCACCACTTCTTGCTGCTCATTCTTCATCCTCCCACCTTCTTCAGGGGCTTGGAGGAACAATGGAGCGCCCCCGAGCGGGTCGTGGGGGAGGAAAACGTCGCCCGGGTTCGCCTCGGGATGATGGTGTGGCAGTGTCGGAGGAGGCGGAGGAGGAACAAGGTGGTGGTGGTAGGAGGAGGAGGAGGAGGAAGGGAAGTACTGTTGAAGAGGGAAAAGGTGGAGATTGTTGGTGGAAGAAAACATATTTTTGTGTGGTTTGTAATATGAATCAATAGTACTTTTGGGGGTAACTTTAGCTCTCTCTTTGTTTTCTTTTTCTTTTTTCTTTTCTTTTTTTTTTTCTCTCAAGAAGCTTGTGTAATTAAACCAACTGAGCACCTGCAAGAGCAGCTGCCTTTCCTTTCAAAGAGCTCCTCCACCCAATATAGTCCTCTCTTTACAAATTTGTTCACTTTATTCATTCATTCATTTATTATTATTTTTTCTTTTTGGGAAATAAAATGGTGGGCTATTAAAAGCTTGATGAAGAAATGGCATATTTTCATGTACTCAAAAACCCAACATCACCACTAGTGGACTTGAAAAGACCTAGCTTCTCTCTTCTCTCTATAAAATTAGGGTTTTTTTTGGGGGATGAAAAGCATGCACCAAAAACCAAGTGGAATATTTAGGGGGCAAAAGGGGTTTTCCAACTTTATTTAAATTTCTTTCTTTTGGGTTTTTACAGTTTCAAAATGGGAATTAAGGGGGGAAAAAGGGATGATGATGAAGATATGTAATTAGGGCAAATTCTAGGAGAGGAAATGAGGAGAGAGCAGAGAAGATGGAGAAATGTATATAATTGGAAAAGAAACACATGATTTGAGGGTTTTTGCCACTAAATGTGGGAGCAACGTACGAAAGCACAAAAGGGAGACTGATGTGAATCTTTTAAAATTTTGCAAAGAAAGAAAAAAACTCTCTTTAATTCAGAGATAGAGTGGGGGCCTCTCTCTCCCCCTTCTAGGGCTTAGATTTTCAGGGAATTTAACAAGAGATCAGGTAATTGCTAGCTGCCTCTTTAACTTGCCATATTTTCATATTTTATTACCTTTTTTCTTTGCAACAAAATGAGCGTGTGGCCGGTGGAGGATTGAACTTTCGACCACAAGGAAGCTAATTTGTGTGTTAACTAGCTTCATCGATCCGTCGAGCAACAACTTTGATTGACTGTATTTTCAGATGTTGTAATAAAGGCTTTTGATTTTAAGGGTACATCTCCATTTTCATGAAGTATTAATATCACATGATGTTGCTCAATAGGTCCATTCTCTGACAAAATAGTGGTGGTGCTGTTCTCTTGAATTTTTGGCTGGAAGAAAATAACCGACTTTTCTTGAACAATTTTCTTCCTTGTGCTTGCCTTTGGAAAGATATTAAAGTTTCGGCCTCTACCTGGTCCTCTATATGACTTTTTTTTTAATTATGATATTTCTACCATTTTGCTAATTAACTGGAGTGCTTTTATATAACCTCTTGATCTTTTGTTGGTATGTTTCTCACCTATTTCATAATTAAACGATTTCTTTCTAAAAAAGAAGGATATTCATGAAAAAATCGTGATGAAAAAATTAGATAGGATCAGTATAAGTCAAATTGGTAATTAAGACATGTCTAAGATTTGAATTCTAAAGAAATTAAGAGAAATTAGGTTAAATTATAAGCTTGGACACTCTAATTTCTAAGATAGTATCTATATTTATATGTATTTTAAAAAGTTTATAATAGGTTCTTAAATTTTCAATCTTGTTTCTAACGAACTCTTATGTTAATTAACTCTACTACTTTAATTAATACTCGAGATTGAATTATTTAAGAATTACATGGCGGGCTGATTTAGACAGATTCAAGTATTTTGTGGCATAACATGGTGTTAATTAGAATAACATTAGTTCGGTTTCTTTTTAATAATAAATATGGAGACTAAACTAGACACATCTTGAATGCTGGTAGATTATAAACTTTTTAAAGTATAAGAATTTAATAGACAAAATGCTAATAGTTTAAAGACCAAACTTATTATTTAACGGTAACTGATTTGAATTCATAATAATTTAACTTGAGTTTAGTTAAACTAGTTAAGACACCCAGCTATCTGATCCAATAAAACAACGTGACTTCAAATCTCCCCCTTCACCTATGTTATATTTTGATGGTGCATCACAAATACTGATTTATCTTTCTCGTATCAGTATGTTGACGAACTCTTGAGCCATTTGTGAAAATACACACATGTTGGATAATTTATCACCTTATGTTCAAATAAATAATAAAAAAAATCATATAAAACCATGTGCAAAGGAAGAATTTTGTCAATAATCAAATCCATAAAGAATTCGAATTACAAGTAAATTTAGTCTTAAGTTTTAAATTAATTTTCAATTTTGTTTAAAGTGGCCCGACCACTCACGAATATCAAAAAAAAAAAAATCAATTTTGTTTCTATAACAAAGTCTTTAACTTTGCAATAGAATTTCTAAGAATTTTTAATTTTGCATCTAATCAGTTCCAAACTTTACCTTTTGTGTCTAATAAGTCTTCGATGCTAAAGATTCCCAAGACCTCCCATTCTAATGTTAATATTCATGAGGTTCAATCTCAAAACCAATTGTCTTTGAGGAGTAGCGTATGTCTAGTATTCAACGTGAGATCCTTAACATGCCTTCTCAAGATCACGGCTCTTTTAACTAGCTTATCGATCTTGGCCGGATCCAATTTTTGAACTGGATGCTCGTTTGAGCATTTTAAGATCTAATACCATACTAATATTCATAGGGTCTATCTTAAAACCAATTGGACAATGGTGGGCTAGTCCTCTCATTTCTAATTGATTTTGATATAAAATCCATGAATATTAATACTTGATTTACTCAACATTTTATAAAAAAAATTAATAATTCTATCAGACAAAATAAAAAATTTAAAATCGAATTAGACACAAAACAAAATACAAAATTTTTTATCTAATGAATTCATTAATTTAAAAAAGAAAAGTCAAATACACAGAAACCTATTAGTATAAGTTCTTATTAAACATTTGGAGACTTCAAGAAACATAAAATTGAAAATTTGGAAATTGAAAATTAAAAATTTCGAAATCTATAGGATACATTTAAAGTTAGAATATAATAAATTTGAAAGTTGATGAACTAAATTTATGATTGAAGATAGATGTAGGGAAGATGTGCAGAAATCTATGGGAAAGGACGAGCAGAAAATCTTACAAGTATTACCATATTTACTCCAATATGTACATACACAACAAGGCCAGACAATGACATTAATTAATGAATGAGCTTAGGTTTTACAGAAAGGCAAGTAGCAGCAGCTCCATAAAAATTAAATTAAAAAAAAAAACGTACACTTTGGGAAAAGAGATGATGAAGAAGATCAGTCAGTTCACAGACCCAACATTTTCCGAACAAGACAACTTACAAACTGCTATTTTTTTACAAGACAAATGATACCTTCCATACATGCATCACTCAACAACCTCAAATTACAAGAAAATTTAAACTAATATTCACAAATATATAATATAGGATATATATATTGTTGATGTCGATTTTTTTAGTGCAGTCCAGGTAAGCGCCACGTAGGTGTCACGTATGCCTTCGTTTTCGAACTTCGATTGTCTGCGCACAGGAATCTAGTATTGGTGTGATGTTTTTGTCGAATGCACTTCAATGCTTAAAGTTAGGAGTTAAGTTAGAGCAAATGGGTGTGGAGGAAAAATAGTAAGAGGACAGTAATCTTGAGGGATAGAGTGTAATTGAGAATGTGTCGAATTCTCACAAGAAGTTGTGTAGGGAAAGACGACTTACATGGAGTAAGACTGCTCTTGAAATCAGTGAGGTTGTGTACCACGTTTGGGTCTGATGGGAACTATCAATATTCTTAGGGTTTCATCTCAAAACCAAAGTGGCCCATGTCTATTATAAACCTATGTTAGGTTTCCTCTCTTTTTAATGTGTATCCTTAACAGGGACCACCGACTACCTCTCTCCTCCTTTGTAATGCGAATGAGGGCATGGTGGCGCATTGGACAATCTTCTAAAGTGTATCGCAGTTTGGGTACAGTGTGTCAGTACCTTGTCCGCTTATTGTCCTCTGTACAGGACGTCTAAGTGCGCTCGATCCTATTGTCAGTATGCTCAATTTCTCACGGTCTTTTTTCTTGATCTAACCTATGTGGTTGGACAGGCTTAAAACGCGTGGCACCTCGATTTCACCGGGTAACATATATATAAATATTAAAAAGGAAAAAAAAAATAGATGAGGACTGAGGATTTCATATGTATATATATTCCTAGTGTCTAATTTCTAGCTCTTCTTTTTGTCATGTCACTTTCATCTTCCAACAAAAAATACTTTTTTTTTTATCAATAAATATAATCTCCTTCGTGTGTATTTAATTTATTCCTCGAGAAAGAACTTTGGGCCCAAAGCATTTGTTGAAGATAAGCAAAATCTCATCAAAGAATCTCTTTTGGATATATACATAATCAAGAGAGATGGAGATTAATAGAATAATAGCCCTAAATCCACAACTCTCTGAGATTTATTATTATTTTTTTATTGATTTTGATTTTCTAGCTGAGTAGGAGAAAGATTTGGAATTTTTTTTTCAAGTATAGAGAGAGATATATAGAGCTCTATGTAATCTATTTTTTGGGAGAAAAAAAAAGAGGCAAATTAGGGATGAAAAAACTTTAGGCTTATCCATATAAATAATAATAAAGATTTTTTTTTTTTTTTTGCTTTTTAAAAAATCGTGTATATAAGAAGAATGAATTAGTGTGGTCACTTCTGTTTCCACAAAGCTAGAGAGAGAGAGTATATAAACATGTGTGGATGTTTTTTGTTTTTGTAATTTTGAAATTAAAATGTTTGATTGTATTGTGTGGAGATGCTTCACCCACAAATCATATTCTCTCTTAAAAAGTACCAATATTGGAATTGGCATTAATTCATTTTGAGAATATTGGGGAGACTTAGCTAAATACTTGGTTTTTTTTCTCTCTCATCCAGGCCCCTCTCTCTTTTTTTTTTTCATTTTCTCAAACCGATGTTGCGTGGCTTAAATCTCTATAATCGAGACTTGTTGTTTGGGTAGAGCAATACTATGATCAATACACGGTTTGAATACAAGACTTCGTGATAGGTGATATTACAAAACCTCGTGTCATTGCACTGCACCATCT